TATGCATGTTGCATTTATAATAAAGTTATATACAAAGCTGGACATGCACATCATATTGCATTTATAATAAAGTTATATACAATGTAATACATGCACATCATATATACGGTCACCATAACAAAATGGCAACTTTAAAGCAGAGTAGCCAAACAATTCTGGAATTCATTTGATTCATGAGGTCATCCAGCTTACCAGTAGATGCTCAAGAACGCACCTCTAGTAGGAGATAGCAGGTTGAGGATGAACATATTTGTAAACCCTGTGTCCAAAGTACATAAAACAGTGTATAAAGACGCAGTATAGTAAGAGCAGAATCTTTCTTACGTAGCTCATGGCTCAGAAAAATTTTATAAAATCAAAACAGCAATAGTTTCTATCACTGACTATTGAACGCAGTTAAAATGATAATTTTGACACATTTTCTTTCTAAGTATTTGCTGCTGCAAACATACAAAAGAAACATCAACACAAAGAAAAAATCATTCAGCAAAACTAAGTCCAAAATGATGATTCAGTTTAGAAAGTTTCGAAAGCAGAAGAACTACTCTCCTTTTATATCAATGAAATTATTAGTCATATCTGTTAAATTCGGAAATATTCAATTATCATTCCTGACTATGAAAATAACAGAATAAATCTATTATGATTAGGCAAACCTTTACCTAGGATTTTCGACCCCTCTGTAGCACGATCAATTTCACAAGGAGCAAGTTCGTCTAATTTCCTGATAAAAGAAGACATCATCATTATATGGATAAAAAAGTAGAATGTCATTTGAGAATTCCATCAAATCATGCTTCAACAATCATCAAACAATCATTAGAAATAAGGTCCAGAAGAATTACGTTTGTGTTCCGGAGCTAAGCTGATGCTGCAACGATAATCTTAAATCAGAAGTTCCTGAATCTGATATCCATGCCGGTGAAGAATCATTGGCTTTATCAAATCTGACATTCTTCTAATAAAAGTACCAGAAATCAGATGGTGTTAGCTATTCATTGCATCTTCCACAGCGAAACAATTGAGGAAGATTTACATATATACCACTCAATTCTTATATAGTTTCATATCTAACACCTAAGCTTTAATTTTTACATATTTGCTACCTAATCAATGCATGAAAAAGGAACATTTCATTTTTAAAAAATCAAAATAGTGGTATTTTTTATGTGAGCTAAAAAATATGGGTGGTATAAATGTTGAAAACTGAAGTTCAGGTGTTAAATATGTCAATGCATAAGAATTGGATGGTATGTAGGTAAATGCTCCAACAATTAAATGAAAAAGGAAGTT